GATCAATTGGAAGGGAGCACTTGAAAAGGTTTACTCTGAAGGACTTGAGGTAACCTGGGCAGAAAAACACTTCTTTTGAGTCATAGCAATCTATTTCCCGCACTACAGAAGAAGTGGGCATCCTGTACTGTGATCAGCTAAGTGGAACGTGCAGTTATGTCCTTGGTGTAATATCTATAAAGAGTAATATGATTATTTATCTTTTGGAATTAATGTGATTTATATTCCACCTTGCCTTTAAGGACTAAAAGCAAAACTACACCCTCCATCAGTGGTGGGTTCCTCCCGGTTTGGCCCGGTTCGGCCGAACTGGTAGCGGTGACGATATGATGTTACCAGACCGGTTCTCTTTATTCTTACCTTTTATTTGGCCCCACCCCCAATCTATTGCTGCCTCCCGAGTCCCAGCTGATCGGCTAGAAGAAAAAAACCTGTTTAAACTCTTGCTGCGGGGCTTCAAAGGGCCACCCTACAGCTGATCAGTGTTAAAAGACAGTGTAGTGGTAGACCGGTGCCTCCAAAAACGAATGAGTAGACCGGTGCCTCCAAAAACAAATGAGTAGACCGGTGCCTCCAAAAATGAATGATTAGATCGGTACAGGTCCACAAGCAGTTAAAAGCCTGGTAGACCAGTACCTCTGATAAATCCTAAAGAATTGTCACATGACCATCAAGCCACCCCCACAAAATAAGCCACACCCACAGAACCAGTAGTAAAATATTTTAGAACCCACCCCTGCCCTCCATCCCCCATTTTCTCTCTGTAACAGCAACTTTGGCTTTGATGTAGTGAGAGCTCAAAGCCACCCAGTGAATTCCCATATCTGAAGGTGGATTTGAAACACCAATTCACCTCTAACAGCATCCTCCTTGGTAGGGAAATAAGTTTACTTTTTTCCATTCATCGAAAAACAGAAAGACCAGGTTAGGTTCATTTTAAAAAGTATATAAAACACTGTAAAGTAATACACAATCCTATATTATCTACACATGCTAGTGCCGTCAAGACATTCAGTTTCTGATTCTCGTAGAGTAATCATGTCTTCTCCATCTTCTTTTCTTTGAAATTCAATACGTTTCTGTCACGAGTGTTTCCAGGATTGCTGTGGCTATCTGCCTACTCACAAACAGTATGGTTTTAATCAAGCCATCTGCTGTTGGCAATTACCTGCAAGCCTTCCCCGCCCTAGTTAATTGCAGGTTGACTCCCTATATAAGCAAGGACCTTTTGCTTGCTACTCGGGCCTAGTCTGATCTAGGCCTAAATGCGCAGCTCCTGCAGGAAGCTTGTTGCAACGCCGCAGATGGGAGAAGAATGCAGATAAGGACTCCAGACGCCGCTACAGAGAGACTCCCACGGATGCTTGCCTTTTGCTGTTTTGTAGCACGCAAGCTATCATCGGGACTGCTGTTGCTGGACCTTCTTCCTCCCACAAGCTTCAAGCAATGTTTGCTGTTTGAACTGTTTTTACTTCAGGTGACTTTCAGCTGTGAAGCTCGTGCTGCTCCCACCATGATGGCCTTGATGATGTATCGACGCCGAAGCTGCTTACCTTCATGCTAGCTTTATTCTTTTGTGAACTGTTTTCGGTATTGTGGAGAGGGATCTAGGGAGATAGCCTTGTTTCACATACCCAGATAAGACTTTGTTTTTAATGTGTTTTCTTAAAGACATAGTGCTTTTTAAATGTTTTAAAGTAAATTATATTTTTACACAAGACGCCTCTGTCAGAATCATTTCAGTCTCAGTGTGTTTACTCATGAGCTGGTTCACGGTCCGGGGTACCCCTCAACCCCATTTCGTCACAGTTTCTAATCAAAATACTTGTTCATTTTTTAAAATCCTCCACTGCAAGATAAGAAAGTAACAAAGTGCCTGACGTGAAGAATTTCAACTGTTTCTAAAATAAAAACAAACTATACTTTGCAAATTAAGGGTTAGAACTGCCCTGATTGCTTCCTTAAGCCCATTTGTAAATGTAATTTGAAGCCAGAGTTATTACTAGTGGAATATTGTTTCAAATGAGAGTCGATCTAGTACAGTGGTTAAACCGCCAGGTAGGCCAAGGTTCTATTGACCATAGAAGCTCACAGGTTGACTTAGGGCCATTCATTCACTCTCAGACCAATGGATTGTTGAAAGGAAAAATTTGAGGAGGGAGCACTACGTATATCAAATAAGCAAAGAAATAAGTAAATTGTAGCTCTGTAACATGTGAAGTACTATTTTTAAAAAAGTGTTTTAGGGCATGTACAACAAAGCTTATTTACCACTACAAATAGCCCCCAAACATCTTTTCCTAGAAATAAGACAATGGTGTAATTTCCATGTCAGGGAAGAACAAATGAAGCTGTTTTGTGTCAAGTTAAAACATTACTGCTACTTTTTCACTGCTCCCTATCAACTTTCAAGGCTATCCAAGTTTTTTGTCAGAAAGTGTGATATAGCTGTGATTGGAGTAATAAACGTTAAACTTCCCTGCATATATCTTGTGCTATAAACTACAATAGAGCACTTTCTGCTGTAACTAGAATTTGAATTTTAAAGCCTTATACTTTAATATAATTTCTTGTTTTTATTGGTTGTGGATGGACAAATAACTTTCTCTTGTGAATTAATCTGAGGCAATATAAATATGCCTTCCTGCCATAAGTAGTCAGGATGTGCATCAAGCTGATGATTAATTCTCTCCGCAGAAGTTATGCTGCTAGGCTCAGACAAAAGAAATCTGTTACAGTCTTATATTCTTGTTATAAATTGAATTGACAAATTAAATAATGGATGCTCTTGTACCCGTATGTTGTATTAAATCTTTTAATTGTGTATGTACTGTATGTTGTATTAAGGAGATTGTGGTTTAGACAAAGGGAAACAAAACAGGAGTTCTTTCTAAAACAGTCATGAGGGACATTTCCAGATTGAGGCATGAATGAAGTTGCCATACTCTGCCCCTAGGAACAAGAAAACATATGGCTGTAAACCAGAGAATGGGCCCTGTGCATTAGTAGTAGAAAGCAAGAATAACTCCTTGAGTGTAATTTTCCATAGTGGTAGCTCTTTAGCACCAATAAAGTGCATTCAAATTGAGATATTTCAGCCCTCTTTGTTCAGGTAGTCTTCAAGTTATGACAGTTCACTTAATGAAGGTTTAAAGTTACGACAACCCCCCACATACTTATGACTGGTCGTGAAGCTGCATATGTTGCAGTACCATGGTGATTGTTCGCTCTTATGACTGACCGCAGAGATACTGCAACATGATTCCGATTCTCACCCATCCTGCACCACTAGGTCCCCATAGGCACTAGGCTGTTTGCTAGCTCATAGAGTTCCACGTAGTCCTCCCCACCCCATCACCAATAGCTCACTTACCTTTCAAAGATCTCCAGAGCTCAAAATGTTGAAGTAGGAAAGAAAAAGAAAGGACCCTGTGGCAGAAAAGCAACCATCTTTAGCTCAGATGCTGGCCAAGCTGTTTTCCTTTTGTCATCACTAGATGGTAAACTTCCCTCCCTCCCCCCCCACACCATTAGCATCTCTAGTCTTATACTAGTGGAGTTAATGGTGGGGGAGGGAAGGCCTGTAGCCAACAGCAAACCTCTCCCTCCTATAGAGTAGTGTGTGCGCATCCGTACATATGCTTCCTCTTTTCACAAAATCACTTTTTTGAAGAGGAAAAGTGTGTGTGTGCGCACGCGCACATGTGAGCGAGCGCACATGTGCCCTTGTGCACGCTTTCCCTCTTAGCAAAAGTGTTGTTGCAAAGAGGGAAAATGTGCATAAGGATGCACACATTGTAGGAAGAAGAGGTTGGCTGCATCCTTCTCCCCCACCATTAACTCCACTATGTAAGACTAGGAGAGCTAATGGTGGATGCCAGGGAAGTCTATCATCTAGTGATGATGAAAGGAAAACAGCTTCACCAGCATCTGAGAAAAAGACTTTTCTGCCACATGGCCCAGCCTCTTCTCCTTTCCTACCCCAACATCTTGAGCTCTGGAGATATTTGAAAGGTAAGTGAGCAATTGATAATAGGGAGTTGGTGCGTAGAAGGCCCAAGACGTTGTGGTGGGAAGTGTAGCATGAGATATCATAGGGTGGGGTGAATGGCCAGAGGCAAGTAGTCTTGTTCCTGCACTAGCCTCCTCATGATCTTCTCCACCCCTGATTGTTCCATGCACACAATCCATGCCCTCTATTAACAAATGCATTAGGGAGAGCAAGGACTGAAGTTCATTCACTTAATATGATTCAATTAACATCCTCTTGGGTTACGATCAGGGGTGCTATTCAGCAGTTTCTGACAGGTTCTGGAGAACTGGTAGCGGAAATTTTGAGTAGTTCAGAGAACTGGCAAATACCACCTCTGGTTGGCCCCAGAGTGGGGTGGGAGTGGAGATTTTGCAATATCCTTCCTCCAGGAGTGGGGAGGGAATGGTGATTTTGCAGTATCCTTCCCCTGCCATGCCCACCAAGCACACCCACCAAGCAACACCATGCCCACCAAGCCACGTCCACATAACTGGTAGTAAAAAAATGTGAATTCCACCACTGGTTACAACTATAATGGGCAGGCTCCATTACGGTCATAACTCAAGGATTACTTGTACTTAATTCTCTTCCAATCTATTAGCTCTATTGCTTAGAACCCTGGTACCTAGTACCTGCTTAAATCTTGTTTTGGAATCTAACCTTGTTAGTTTGCTTCTTTTAAATTAAAAGGCTTTGAGGTTTGACTGTGTGATTGCCTTGGGTTAATGTTATTTCAGATTCCTGGTGTTTGATATTACATAGCAGGACATGGCTAATTGTATCATTTCTTATCCATTTTCAGGATGTAAATTCTACAAGTTGGAATTGGAAGTGAGGATGAATGTGACTTTCCTGTGACTTCGTACCATGGTTATCACTGGCCAGCATTTCTGACTATTTATTTTTCCATTTAGTTTATGAGGTATATTTTGATTTACTTGAGGCAACCAGGAGAAAAGAAAAAATCCACGGAGTATTAGAGTACATGTAGTCCTCCATTTATGACCCAAATTGAGACATTAATTTCCACTGCTAAAGAAGGTGGTTGTTGAGTGAGTCATGCCCAATTTTACAAACTTTTTTGCCACAGTTTTTGCCACAGTGAATCACTGCAGTTGTTAAGTGAATAATGTGGTTGTTAAGCAAATCTGGCTTCTCCTATTAACTTTGCTTATCAGAAGCCAGCTGAGAAGGTCACAAATGGCGACTACAAGAGCCTGGGATGCTGCAGTTATTATTAATACTTGCCTATTGTTGAGCCTCCGTATTTTGATCACATGACTCTGAGGATACCACAATAGTCATAATTGTGAGAACTGATTGTAAGTCACTTTTCTCGGTGCTGTTGTAACTTTGGTGGCTAAACAAATGTTTGTAAATTGAGGACTATCTGTATACCAAGTTAACAAAAGAAATTATCGATCAAGATTGGAAAATAAGTGTTAAAACAAGGATGTGCCATAAGTTTGGTCTGAGGACGTACCCAGTAATTGTGCACCATATTGAAGGCCAAACTTTAGAAGTTGAACGCAAAGCCTAAGGAATGTAACTCTGTAAATATTTTAATAGATTCAAAAGATAGACACAAGACTCAGGGATCTATTTTTTCCTTCAAAATCCAAGAGGGGTTAAATGTTTTTGATCCCAGTCATTCTGGAGGTTAACTTCAAAACAGAGTCTGATAATCACTTTGCTCCAGTTCAGGTGTAACAGGAAGCTAAGGTTAATTGAAGACTTCCTGATTTATTATGGAGCGCTGAAGAAAGAAAGCTTAGTTTTGGCACAAGTCTTATATTAAGAATAAATGTTAACATATCATCTGTTCCATGAACTGCAAGAAGCTAATTTCTACAGTCAAACATCTAGGTCGATGATATGGAAAGAATAGTAACTACAAAGCCCCACCAAATTTTGCAACTCAAATTCAAGATTTTTGTTGTGCTTCATCATTCTGATAGGGGGGAAATCTGTTACACATCTAAGCTAGGATTGTTAGCTTAGTCAAATTACCAGCATTCTTCATTCCAAAGCCTAAAATTAGTAGAATTTTTCATTAATAGGAATTATCATTCATCTAAGCATTATTCTGTACTTCTTGGGATCAGAGTTCAAATAAATTTTTTTGAGCATTTGAAAGAAAATTATAGATTGTCACGTTGCCAGGGAAGAGTGTTAGCTTAGAGCTCTGAGATGCTATTTTAATTACACGGGTTCCTGCATAACTGCCTAAGAGATATTTTAACTGTTTTAACTATTTTCTAACTCAGTAATACATTGAGGAAATATTGCCAGTAAATTCAGAACGAAGATTTGCATAGCTGTGTGTGAAAACGGAGAAGTAATAAACAGGCAAAATAGCTGGTAATAATTTCAAATGAAATTATAATTTCATCTAGATACAGTCCTTTTGTGTTCAGAATTTTTATTCAACATGCTCTTATATTTTGTATGTACCTGTATATAATGGATGTATCTATTGTACTGATGATAAAGCATAAGCTTAAAGAATTCAAGTAGCGACAGACAATGCTTGCAAAATTAGGTCCATCAGCTCACAAAGAATTGTAAGTGAGAGAATGAGAAATGAGAAATCTCAAATTATGATCCGTTGGTTGTGGCTTTTCAAGAAAAGTTTGGACAACCATTTGTCCAAGTTTGTATGATGGCTTCTGCCTTGGGCAGGGAGTTGGAATAGAAGACTTCCATAGTCCCTTCTGACCCAATAATTCAATGGTAATCTATTAAAGATGTTTGGAACTAAATTGTAAAGTTTTCTTTTTTTTTTATTGAAAAGTTTTACAAAAAGTTTACATATTTCCCCCCCCCCTTCCCTACCTCAACCTCCCCCCTCCCCCCCTCCCCTTCCCAGAACAAATTACAGGGTATAAACTTCAACAATCATAATCAATCCTAATCTAAACAATTATGACATTTCACATCTCTTGTTTCTTCAATTCCCTAATTACCCGCCTAGCTTTATTACTTAAAGACACACTAAATATCTATATAATCATTCATAAACTATCTGCAATTTCTTATTCCGATATTTATTTTGAATATAATCTATCCACCTTCTCCAATCTCTTAAATATCTTTCATTTGAATGATCCTTCAGGTACGCCGAGATTTTTGCCATTTCCGCTAGATTTATAACTTTCATTGTCCACTCTTGGATTGTAGGTAAATCTTGCTTCTTCCAATATTGTGCCACCAACAGTCTTGCTGCAGTTATTAAATTCAAAATCAATTTAGTCTCTATAACTGTACAATCCGTAACTATACCCAAAAGAAACAGCTGTGGTGTAAATTTCAACCTCTTTTTAAGAATATTTTGTAAAATCCACCAGATTTTAATCCAAAACGCTTTAACCTTTTTACATGTCCACCAAATGTGAAAATAAGTAGCATCCTCACAATTACATCTCCAACATTTTGGTTGTACATTTGGATACATACGAGATAACTTTTTTGGATCTAGATGCCATCTATAAAACATTTTATAAAAGTTCTCCCTTAAATTTAAATTGTAAAGTTTTCAATATAGCTTTCTGTGTGCAATTATTTTTAGGATTGCTGTCTATTGTGAGCCAATCCATCCTGAAACTGTTTCTTAATGCTACAAAATATATTCAATTAAGCAAAGTTTGTTCAGTGATTAAAGTGAGATTACTCCTCCTCAGGATGAGGTATAATTTTAATTCCTTCTTATTAAAAGCAAATATGGGAAGACTTAGTTATGTTTCACATTATGCTTGAATGACATATTTTGGCTTAAAAATAGTTATACGTGTTTATTTGTGGTGCATCAACCACAGAACACATATATAACATTTATTTAAAATACAGATTAAATAAATTAAATGGTGTTTGGCAGCTTACAAAAAATTTAAACATTAAAGCCACATGATCAGCAAAATAAAAAAAGTCTTATAATCCTAGATATAAAAGGAATATTTTTGCACCTTCTCCTAAACCGTAACAAGGATGGATGGACCAAGTAATAAAAATTTATTTCAAAATATAGAGAAACAGTAATACTTGAGTGTTAATGCTAAAGATACCTGGCAGGATCTGTAAAACTGCATGAAAATTGACAGCTGTACAGTGGAATAAATTCACATATATACCTACAGATATACATATACATACATACACATTCACATACATACATACACACATACACGCACAAACACACCTGTGTCATATATATTTAATAATAATTTAATAATTTATTTAATAACTTTATATGGCCATCCATTTATATGCATGAAGCATATAAACGGACTCTTAACTCTTAAATTAACTCTTAGCTAGGCAGCTAAGAGTTAAAACGGTGTAAAAAAAAAGAAAATTAAAAACATTAATAACATAATGACAAAATTAATAACATTAGTAACATAACTGACAACATACAAGTTATTCCACATTTAATACAAGCATAATACAACCAAGACCAAGAACTTGGTTCACCCACCTCTGTCAGGGCTCCATATCTGGCACAATATTTTTTTTTGTTGCATTAATCCTTTCCTTCCTTCCTTCCTTCCTTCCTTCCTTCCTTCCTTCCTTCCTTCCTTCCTTCCTTCTTTCCTTCCTTCTTTCCTTCCTCCCTCCCTCCCTCCTCCTTCCTTCCTTCCTTCCTTCCTCCCTCCCTTCCTCCTTCCTTCCTTCCTCCTTCCTTCCTTCCTTCCTTACATTTTATTAGATAAGACAGTAAATAAATAAAAGATGACCCATTAAAGATTTTCAAGTCAGTTCTATAATGAAAATTTAAGTACAAGTTCATTATCAAGGAAACAATTTTTCCTCCTTCTCAGACATAAATGTGGATTAACAGTTTCAAAGGTGTCAAATATAAATTACATTCAAAATTATACATAAAACAAGTTTGCTTTGTCATATATCTGATAGTTCAATTAATTCGAAATATACATGTGACTTTTGAAGACTTCAAAGTATTTATAGTTTCAAAATATTTTCAGTATTTAAGATACGTTGTTTATTTTGTTTCCTTAAACATAATGTCTGGCATATAGTTGAATATCCCTGCCAAGTTATACATATTTCTGCAGGTCTGATATGTGGGAGAGGAAGGGAATTGCCAATAGACCTTTTATTGACCTTATGATTCATTTATACCATTTTTCACAGAACCTCTAATCCAATTATACCTGGTGTATTCCTGTATTCCTGTATAGTTACCTGCTAGGTCAGAACAGGAGAGTGCTATTTGAATCACAGTTTTTCCATTCATATGCTTTTCTACATTGTACTAATTACCTTGTGTTTCATTTCTGCTGCACCACTGTTAACCTTTCAACTAATATGTCAGATGTAGGAAAAGGGACATTTTAGAAGACAGACAAGTTTAAAATTATAACCCCTTTGTTCTTCTTCAGCAGACATAATTATTCACAGGTAACTTTAGGATGATGATGTTAGCACAGCAGATGGACTGTATGATAATTCATGCTACTGGCTCTTACAGTTCTTGAGGGTTTGCTAATAGGATTGTTCTCACTTTAAAACTAGAGGTTTTTCATCTGCTTTAGCTAAAGCTAAAAAAAATACAGTACTGTAGTATCAGATTCTGAAATGTGACAAACAATCCATCTACTTAATTAGTTGTTTTGGCACCACAGAAGATTGGATAGTGGTAGTGGGTATTTTTTTTTTCTTTCCACTTAATATATACCTTTGTACTAAAAATTATTTAGCCAGCTAAGACAACTTGTATATAAATTTCCCCACATATACATTTAGAAACGGTTATTTAGCAAGCTTATCTTGTATTGTAAATTACTCTCTCTATAAGCCTTTTATCTGTATTCCTACTTGTAACAATTAAAGCAGACAGTGTGAACTTCCTAATTTAACACCTGCTGAGCAGTGGAGAGCCAGGGCTGCGCACTAGAAACTGTTTCCTATAAAGTTATTTTTACTAAAGAATCCCAGGTTAGTGGTTATGACCATGTCAGTGATAAGGTGTGCTACTAAGCCAACTGCATGTCTGCCTGCTGAGGAAACTGAACTCCCTCAGTGGGATGCAAACACGGAGCTCAAACATTGAAGATTTGAGCTCCGTTCCTGCATTCTGCTGAAAGCATTCCCTTCTGCTCATTGGAGAGGAGCTGAAATCCTTAGGTAGGCAGCTGTCATCCAGCCTCCAGAGACACGAGGAAGCTGAAATCCTAGCAGAGAGCAATCTTCTCATATATCCAAGATACCCTGTGCTTCTTACCTGGACTCTGTCCACTCAACAACACGTAAGATTACTTAACAACCGAGTGTGCCAAATTTTTGTTTATTAGATTTTTTTTCTTGCCTCTATTACTTTATAAGTAACTCAAAGTAGTGAACATACATACAGTATTACTCCTTCCTTCCTGCTCCTATTATTCTCCCGACAACAACAACCCTGTGAAGTGGGTTGGGCTTAGAAAGAGTGACGACCCAAAGTCATTCAGTGAGCTTTCCCACCTAAGGCAGGACTAGAATTCACAGTCTCCTGGTTTCAAGGCCTGCACCTTAACTATTACCTTAACTGCCCCAGCTGACCTTTGCTGTCCTCTGCTTTTGACAAGGCATGCCTGGCCTAGCTGCTAGGCCAGGTTGAGTCTGGGCTTCAGGCTGCACTGAAATCAGTCCCCTGAGACACAACACAGAGGTCAGCCCCAGTCCATCAGCATGGTGCAAAGCTGCAGCCCCCTGAGCCCAGTCCCAGCTGCATTCTCATGCATGACCAGGAGAAGAAAATGTCATGTGGCTAGCAGCTGCCTCATGAAGAGCTAGGCTGGTCATGTCTTCTCAGCAGCAGAAGCAAGAACAAAAGTCAGCTGGGGCAGCAGAGCACAAGGCTCCAGGGGCCAGAATGTATAGATGGTAGAGACATAGGTGGTTGGGGAGAGTCAAAGCCCCCTGAGTCATAAATGTAAGCAGTCTGCCAAGTGCTTGAACTTCAATCATGTGACAACAGGGATGCTGCAATGGCCATAACCTTGGGCACCAATGATAAATCCCTTCGTTCAGCACTACCGTATCTTCAAACAGTTGTTGAATTTATGGTAATAAATCAAGGACTATTTGTACTGTAACATTATTCTTTTATCTCTTAAATTTCTAAGGTTGTATTTTGCAGACAAAATATTTGTCAGGTTAAGCACAGCTATCTTTACATGGCACGGGATGATGACTTCTAATCTTCCTATCTCCAATTTTTTTGGCTTTTTACAATTTAGGGATTAAAAAGGATGAAAGAAGGGAGGGAAAGAATAAAATGACTATTACTTGAGAGAAAAAAGGATTGGAATCATAATTCTGTTCTTTCTGTCGGTCGGTCCGTCTTTTTCTTCCTTTTTTAT